CACTGGAAAGTTGAAGATGAAAGACTGGCGTTTACTATCTTTGAGGAGGAACTTGCTCTTCTATTGCTGTCTGGCTTGAGTAGTGGATGTCGCACTCAAGGGCGTTTCTAGTCACAAAAAATATTTGATAGTACATTCTAATTCTTTTATTTAGGCCTTATTTATGTAGTGATGTTTGACTTCATATGTGTACCATTGTAAGTCATTTCATTAGGAAGTTTAAAGTTAAATTATTTCTAAATTAAAAAATATAACATTCTTTTTCAAACTGATTAAAAAGAAAGGCCGCAACATAAATTGAAATGACGGGGGTAATATTTTTCATAAAATAGGTACTAGCTAGAGAGAATAGAAAAATATTCTTTTTGTACAGGAAATAATTGTATTCTTGCTTGTGGAGAACATAATTTTCTTTGATGTAATATAATTAAGGATTGGTTTTGGGAGGGACTTACCAATGAATTTCACATTTTTGAACTTTATATGGGCTTTCGGTTGTTAAACGGGGTATTATCACCTTTAGCCCGCGTCAGAAATTACTTATATTTGGTAGTCGAAAAAGTGTATAAAGTTTGTATATAACATACGAATGTGTATATATATATATATATATATATATATATATACAAATTTTATACATTTTTCGACTACTATTTTTACAGCGGTTATACAGTGTCATTTTTCCTTCTTTTTACTACTAGTTATGTATATGGGGTTATTTTATCCAACTCTAAATAATTAATGACATCACTAATTGAGGACCTTCATTTGGTTAAAAGTACATTAAAATTCGACATGTATAGGTTGTTTGATTAGTTGTTCACTACACTAGTGTTTTGTAGTGTCAAAAGGTCTTGAAGCACTTAGCTTAGACTCTTCTTACGTGTTAAATGTCCCCCAATGTGGGTCTGGATTTTCCTTTTAAAAAATTTTGGAGCACACCTTTAGCTAATAAAATGGAAATTTTCTTTCAAATTTTGATTAGATTCTGAATTATCCGATCAACTTGACAGAAATAATGCTTGGTACACTGGAATAATAATATAGTATTGTTAATATATATATGAACTTACTTTTATTTCTTTCTTATATCACATCACCTTAGGTTGCTATCCTTTCTCGAATTTGTGTGAAAGCGGAATACTTCGCGCAATGAATTTTTTTTTTCTTATAATAACTTTTTGTTTCATTTCTATTGAATAATTTTGCATTTGGAATAGAGTTGCTTAGGGATGTAAATAGGGCAGGGCAGGGTAGGGCGAGGCAGGGCAAACCTTGACCCGCTAAAATTTTGACCTGCCCTGCCCCGTTTAGACTATTTTTTATTTTTTTCTTTATCTTTTATTTTGCAGTATGCTTTTAATTTCTTTTACCTTTTCAACTTTCTATTTAAATATTTAAAATTGACATGTCAATAAAAATTGTTTGTGCATATTGATTGAATAAATATAAATTTTTATTAATGTTATATAATTTATCAAAGACTAAATTTTTTCTTATGTTAAAGTTCCACTCCAAGTAACTAGCTAATTGTTTAAATTACTTCTGCAACGGTTTGTTTCCTTTAGTTATCATACTTTGTTAGTGAACTAACTTGACTGTAAAATTGCATGACGAAGCATCACTTCTATTAATTTCCTCTAATACTTTTTAAATACAACATCAGTTTATTAATTTTAATACAATAATAAATACCATCATTTTTTTCTTTTATGCAATGTCTTAGTTTAACAATATTATTAGGACGATCAAGCGTGCGCATAATCTGAAGTTCTCTGTTGTTGTATCTCATATCCCGTAAGACTTCCTTAAAGCAACAAATTCACGAGTTGTACTACTACTTTAAATTACTTGCTTCAACCAATGTATAAAATTTTTCAATTATTTGCTAGGCATAAAGTAGAATTGTTAATAAACAATTTATATTTTATTAAACTATTATATTTGCAAGCAGTGGCGAAGCCACATGCTTGTAAGGGTGGTCAACTGACCACCCTTCGACGAAAAGTTATACTGTGTACGTAGGTAAAATATTACGTTTTAGAGGTATATAACACATATTGAACACCCTTTATCGTAAATTATTTTCACGTTTTTTAAATTTGAACACCCTTAAAGAAATTCCTAGCTTCGCCACTGTTTGCAAGTATGCCACTAGTTAACAAAAGCAAGCAAACAAAATAAGTTTTTTAAAAAAAGAAAACAAAACGACAAGAATTTGAGGCACCAAATCTATTGATGCTAAAATAGCTAGAGAAGTAAGCACACACAAGTGAGTTTGAGCTAAAATCCTGCCCTACCCCTGCCCTGCCCCATTTACTAGTTTCTGAAAATGCGTTTTGACCCGCCCCGCCCTGCCCCGTCACATTAAAACTTTGCCCTGCCCTGCCCTGCCCTGCCCCATTAAGGTTTTGCCCTTCCCTGCCCTGCCCCGTACTATTCAGTTGCTCCATTTTTCATTTGATAAATTAAGGAATTTAAGGCAAGTTACACATTTGATCGGTCAGCTAAAAATAATTATATTTGCTTGTCAAAAAATATATATTTAGCTGCTATATTATGTAATTTTCCCTAACATTCATTTATGCTGAATTGTCTAACGGGGTCAGATTGTCAAATTACAGTCAGGCCTCTCTATAACAGCATCCTTATATAACAACCATTCACTATGAAAGTCAAATTTTCCCTCAGAACCGATTTTTTAAGTTATATATTGCCTCTCTATTACAGCCTTTTACCTATAATAGGAATAGTCATATTTATAGCAAAACGCTCTTTATAAACTACCCCTTTATAACAGCCATATAGAAATTTAAGGTTACTAATAATAATTCTAAAAATATGCACACAATCTCTTCCATTGAACAAAGTTTCTATGTTTCATAAGACATAAGATTTCAAGATTTCCACACGATATTTTTTCCATTGGTCAAATGCCAAAAAATATTTAGATAGAAGATTTACTTTATAAGCTCTTAGATTGTCTTCAAGAGAAAGCTATTAGATACTTTTTTGCTGAAAATTTGGACACAAATCTTCGCCAATTCAAGCGTTATATCGCTCGTATGATAATGAAATATACGCAAGACGCAACAATTACAAAGTTCTTCCATTAATTTTGAAAGAATTTATTTTCCTAAGTAGCTTCAAAATGTGTGTCTTAGAGTTTAAATCTTTATGCATTTAGTTATGAATTTATTAATGATGTATTAGCTTTCTTCAATATTTAACAAGTGAAATATACATATATTTTGAGATTTGCAATTTGAATAATTTTTATCTTTTATATGTAACATTGGAAAAGGAAAAATAGTTGATTCTTGGATAGTTTTTATTTATAGTAGTCAAAATATATACACCTCAAATGTTATAGATGTATAACAGTCATTCACTAAAAAGCCAAAATGCCAAGAACCTTATAATGACAATAATTCATGAAAAATATTTACCCACGCCCAAAGTTACTACTCCCTCTGTTCCAGTTTATGTGAACCTATTTCCTTTTTGGTCCGTTCCAAAAAGAATGACTCCTTTCTAAATTTAGTAACAATTTAGCTTAAACTTACAATTCTACCCTTAATGAGAAGCTTTTATAACCACAAAAATACTCTGGGCCCCTTTTTGACTTGTTTAGGACCACACATTCCAAAAGTCTTCATTTTTTCTTAAACTTCGTGCCCAGTCAAAGAGGTTCACATAAATTGAAACGGAGGGAGTACCAAATTACTTGCGTACTATGGTGAAGTGATAAATGGATGAGAGAACTGAATACACCCTCATTAACCATGGTTAAGCAAAAAGCGTATATAAATAACATGTTTCAGGTATTCATTACTTTAGTGTAAATATTAGGTGTGGATAACATTTTTCCATGAGAACTGCCGAAAAAAAATCTAACTACTTCGGCACCAAAGGGTCCTAATGGTTAATGAAGTTGGTGAAACCATAGAAGATCAAGAGTTTGAATCCCAACTAACGCGAAAAAAGGAATATCATGATCGTCAATAGTAAATATAAAATAGAGAATGCAATTCAAATAGTGGAGTGATCTCGTTAAATGGTAAGTAAATAGGAGTTTTCTTAGAGTAAGATAAATTGTTGTAGATGTTGCACAGTGGTTAAAAATGAGGCTATATTTTATTTTATTTTTAAATATGAGGTCAATGTAACGTTAGGAAAATAAGGATACATGTCGAGTAATATTGCAATATACAGATTATTATCATTAGGATCATCAACAACCATCATCCAAATTTAGCTTCACTTTTACTAGTAGGTCAAATTACACAGGTCAAGAATGAAGGAAAACGCAATCTTTTTCATTCACCTGCACTGAAGAGTAAAGAAGTGAAAGCTAAGCTTTAATATTATATATTGAACGTAATGTAAAATGTTCAAGTCATACATCAAGGACTAATACACAATAAGTTGTAACCTAAAATCAGCAGAAATATACTATGATTCCAACACTGACACTTTTGCAATATTCACTTAAATTGGTCCTTTATCATTCTCAATGAATTCTATACTATAATATATCCTGTTCAACCAAACTCAACACGGTTGTTCCATTAAGACAAGGGGAAAACAGAACAAAACCAATTCTCAGGACATTTATCGGTCCATTTTCCATCAGTCACCAGAGGAATGCAAGGCGCTTTGAAGATATAAAATAAGCAGCCCTGTAGAAAAGATCAAAATGAACTGCATTCTTCTTTTTAGGTTTTGGTGTAAAGCAGAATATATAGGTGATCAGGATTCAACCATACAAGTCTTTAGGCTCCTTGTAAGAAGAACAAGGAAGTATAATTTTGGTTTTTGTCTTAGCCCTTCTTGAAGTAATTTTGGCTCCAGCACGATCATTGAGATTGTGCTGATGATTTATTAATATATTGGATTTGTTACCTTATCCAAAAAAACAAACAAAAAAAAACAAGAGTTGCAAGAAAATCTCAATGCACATGCACAACATCTAAAATGCAACAAATAAATGCTTCTAAGAGAAACCAAGCTACCATATAATTTGGTATGCCATAACGGTTAGAATAGTAATTAGTTACATAGAGAAGTTAAAGATTTTATGACTGCATGAGTTTATCAAAAACTCAATATAAAGCAACATTTCTCATATCCTGAGAGAGAACTACTAGCAGCCAAGTTATGGAAAGCTCACTCCTGGAAGATAATCACAAAATTGGTGGAGGATCTTGGGCAACCTAACAATTTCTCAGCCAATCGAAACAAATATCGGGATACACAGTTCATTGAACACCTCTTGCACTTTCTTCTCTTTGATATGAGAACAAACTTCTCCAAAACCGTTGCTCTCTTCAATAGAAATTCTGAAAGTTTAAACAGCTTGTCGAAGCCCCAGTTGAAATGATCTTTCAAACACACCCCGGAGGAGATGACAATCTTAACTTTCTTGAGATTGGGAAACACGAAGCTGGAAATCCGACTCTGCAAATCAATATTATCTCCTCTAGCCAGATATTTTAACTCATACTTGCAGCGGGGTTCAACTGACTGAAGACAGATAATATAATCAGAAATGAAACTGCACAATTGTGACAAGAAATGATTTCAAAATAGAAGTGTCTATTACGGAAATTTTTTAGAACCAACAAATCTTAATGGTACTTGGAAAATGATTATGACGGCTTTCCTAACATAAAGATTCATGGCGTACGAAAACCAAGTAAAGAGGTGATAGCACAAGAATCAGTTTTTTGGAGTTCGTTTGCCACAATGAAAGCAACACCACAAACAATAATAATGTGAAGCTTTTTAATGACATTGGCAAAGCTTCTTACTGAAAATTGAGGATATATTTGTATTTACCTTCAGCAACCTCCCGGCAAAAAGAGGGGGTGTGGG